TCAAGATCCACAAATAAAAAATCAAAGACAACATCAATATTGAATCAAAATTAGTTCACAATACATATAATAGATGAAATACATAAGGTATCAATAGACTACATTCAAACCCAACAAGAGATTGAAGCACTTACTAGAAGATCAAGCGAGTTGCTTCAATTTGTGATTCTTTTCTTAGCGTTTGTGTGTCTCTCTCTATAATGTGCTTGGAATGAAGAGAGATAAAGTTCTTATCTCAAAAATACAAGTTATATTCTAAAAAGTGAGAAAAGTACTTAAATAATTATTACAAAAATTTTCCTGTTCGCCTAGCGAACACCTTACTCGCCCAGTGAATACCACTTTTAGGCACTTGAAGTGCCTCTGAACAGTTAAACCGCCCTTGAGAAAATATATGAGTTTGCAGTGCGAACACTTCTTCGCACAACGAACTGCTTCACTATAGCTTTACCCAACGAACTTTGGGCCCTTTTCCTACTGCCTATAATGTAAGATGATTCGCTGGGGCTTCACCAGGATCTTGCACAGCGAGCATTCACTTTCACCTCGCTGGTGTTCGCACAGCGAGCATTCGCTTTCTATTCGCTGGTGTTTGCACAACAGGCATGCTGATTCCTCTTCTTTTCTTTGACTTCTTTGTCCACTCCTTTGTGTCTTAATCATTGATGTTTTATGTTTATATTATGCACAATAACACACACATCAAAGAATCCAAAGCTATTTGCAATTTAATTGAAGAATCACACAAGAACAAGAAAAAAAATTCAATTAAAACATGAGAAATAAGTTGAAAAATGTCAAGAAAGATAATTCAATTTAAGTCAAAATTTGCACTTAATACTCATCATCAAGGTGGTGTTTGATTATTCGATTTACTTTTAATTTTTTCATTGCCATCTCTTCTGGGTCAACTTATGACTTTCTTGAATTTTCTTCTTCAAGGATTTTGTCGAATCCCTTACATGCAAGGTACTCAATAAGTTATTATTCCATGTTATGTAGTTGTCCTTAGTTATGCTTAAAATTTTGAACTGATGTTTAACATTTGACATGATTATATCTAGATTTTAGATGAACATAATCAATATTTAATACATAAACAAAAAAAAATATCAATTTATTCAATAACGATTACAAAAACCATGACCATGTTTTACTCAAAAAACCTCTATCAGTAAATCAAGCTAAGACTAGTAATGGTAAAATAATAAATATCACTAATGTTTCCTTATATTTATCTAATTCTTCCTGCTTGATAATATCGATATGGAATAAACTAATGACAAGTAGAGTGATGAATAAGAGAAAACATTTATCCATTTAAAAGATATGGCTAAATATTTGAGAATGATGTGAATGTTACGAAAGAAGTTGAATTATATATAGAGATAATTTTATAAAATAACCGTTATAGTTACCATTGGAAAAGATGGAAAAAGAAAAGAAAAAAAAACGTGTTAAATATCACCAAGTCAAATATCAAGTGTATTAAATATCAATTAGTTGTTAGAAGTGTTAGAGATAATTACAAAATAATATATATTATGAATGAACACATATGGTAAAACACATTAGTAATTGTGAATGAACACATATGATAAAACACATTAGTAACTTTAGTTATATCAAAAAAATTATTTTTTTCGTGAAGCAATATTATAGATGAAGATTTTAGTTCTATATTAAATATAAAAGTTAGTATTTGCATATGAGATTTTAGACCCCTACTAAATATAAAAGTTATTAATTGCCTATAAGGTTTTAGACCTCCATTAAATATAAAAAATTAATATTTGAAAAGGAGTTTTCGATCTCCACACAAAATTTGCATATGGGGGGTTATAGACCACTTGACAGGCTGTCAGCTTTCTATAACAAAGGGTAAAGAAATAACAACGATGTTAGTTATTTTAGTTATAAATCACTTGACGAGTTGTCAGTTTTTTATAATCGTGATAAATAATAATAATAATAATAGTAATAATAAGACTAAAGTGAGAATTTTTTTTAGAATAACTAGTTTATTCAAAAAATATACGAATTAAACAAATAATTGAAAAAAATTACAAAACTGACAATGTTTCTACCTTGGGTCGCCATTTGGATTGGCGACTCAGGCTATCTGAAGTGGACTCGCAAATTGGGTTGGCGACACGGTTATGCCATTTGGAGTGGACTCGCTAATCCATTTGGCGACTTGGCACATTTACTTTTTTTTTCTGTTTAGGGTTTGCGTATTTATGTTTTAACTGTCAATTAGTTTTTATTTTTTCATAATTAATTTCAATTTAAATTATATAAAAAGATAAATAGAATAAATATTAAATTATATTTTTTGTTTTTCATAATTAATTGAAATTTAAATAATGTAAATAATCTTAAAAAATTGTAAATTATAGTTTATGTTTTTCATAGTTAATTGAAATTTAAATAATCTTAAAAAATAAATAAATGTAATAAATATTAAAATATATTAATTTGCAATAGAATAAAAATTACAATTGACCACAAAAAAAATTAATGGTCGGCTCTATCCAAACGACCACCGGTACCACATTGTGGAGGAGGTGCGCGGCGACGAGGTCTACCACGAGATTGTTGAGGTGTGTCCGGTCTTTGTGTGTTGAGTTGTGAAAGAGAGATTTGTTGGGACGGCCCCGACGTATCAGATAAATTTTGAAACATTTGACCAATAATAGCCGGGAGGTTCACTATCAACGGCGCTTCCGTAGTTAAGCCCAATGCCCATATTTTCGTAGGATTTTCGGGGAGGTTGGATGGAGTATGGACAATATGGTTGTCCGAATTTGTACATCGAATCGGGTTGGAAACGGTGTGTTGGTTGTTGTGAGGTTTGGTAGTCAAACAGTGGATAGTTGGAGGGGGTAGGGTCAAAAGACGTATTAGAGCTATATTGGTATGGATGTTGTTGTTGTGATTGGGTTAGTCGCATGTACGGGTCATGGTAAGGGTGTTGTTGTTGATGTTGGGCATTTGGTGGCATGTATGGATTATGGTAAGACTGTTGTTGTGGTTGTTGGGCATTAGGTTGTTGCTGTGTGTTTGAGAAAGAAGCACGTTGCCTTGGGTCAATCAAATAGGTCGGCTCAGACAAAAATGGTTGGGATGTGTTGCCTTCTGTTCTTCCAATGCTGACACATCTCCTTCGCAAACTCCTTCCATTGACCGACACTCCACTGTGAGTTCACCCGTTGCTGATGCCACTGTCTCAATGAAGTCGGAGCATCTGGAATATCCTGATGCATCCCAAACTGTAGCTTCACCCGGTCACGTTGGTGCATCTCCACCGTAGTGAACCTAATGATAGGTGTTTTTGATGTCCACACAGCAACACCATCGGCGTTGGGCTGGTGGTCGAGACCCTCGTACGACATCTAGACAAACTACAATAAAGGTAGATAAATTAAGTTAGACAAGTTTATGCATATAAGTTAGACAAAGTAAAGGAAGATAAATTACATCGTTTGGCCCAATGTGTTCGATGAGGTTTCGGTACACAATTACGGAGTTCCTCGAATATCTTTGATAATTCATCCCCGGAATAGACCACCTAAAAAAAATTGAAGAAAATAAAATATCACTTATGATTTTAAAAGAAAATTGGTATAAAACATCACATTAATCAAAGAAAATATTTATACTATTAAAAGTATAACTATTACAAAAATATAATAATTAACATTACTATTTTAACTTTAAAAATTAGACATCTATAATAATTAATCATTATTATTAAAATAGATAATTAATTATTACTATTAAGATAAATATTTCTCACTAATAATAATATTATAACAATAAGAATATTTTGAATAACTTCTGTGATTATTAGATGATGTTAGGACTACAGCCGTATTTCTTTCGAGTCTCAAATTCTATTGGTATCATGAAATTCTAGATTTTGAGTCAAAAACAAATCAAAGTGTAGATTTTCTTTGTCAAGTCTTAAAAGTTTCAAATAGTCAAATTACCATCCTTTTGCGGCGGTCAAAACCTTACCCTAGACTAGACAACTCAACTTCTTCCACAAAAAGACAATACTCGGGTTTTCAATGTTTCAGTCAAATTACTTTTGAAATTTCTTTTACACTTACTTTTGACATATGTTTGAAATTTTCAAACTAAATGTTACTCTTCCCTATTTACTCGTAGCTTTAATATCTTATTTATCCAAATATATTGATTTTGTTATTTTTAATATATAACTATGAGAAAAAATATATAAAATACATATACGGAGGGTGTAATATGTGAAATATATTTGTAAATCACATTTTTATTTTTAAAATACTATTAAATTTAGATATGTGAAATATATTTGTAAATCACATTTTTATTTTTAAAATACTATTAAATTTAGTATTTTAAAATAATCTGATTAAATATCTGTTTAATATTTCTTAATTTAACACTTTAAAATAATCCGATTGATATTTGTTTAATATTTCTTTACATGGCCAGCACACTATCTTTAAACTCTATAAGTATTTTTTTCTTTTTGTATAACAAATTAATAAAATCACTTTGTTTATAAAAAGTAAAATAAAATACACTTTAATTAAATGTTATGAGTTTTAAATTGTAGAATTTAGCTCAACTGTTGAAAGTTTGATACGATAAAATATCATTAATAATACAATAATCCACTCTAAATAAATCTCTAATCTAGTAGGAGGTTGTGTATGCAACAATATTTCAAAGAAAACAAGAGTATATATAATATGATATTTGAAGTCAATACTTCTAATACTAATGCATTTACAACCCAAAGGATCTCATAACTTATAAGAGAAGAGATCAATGTCATGATAATATAAACATTCAAAGAACAAATGAACATAACCTGATCAAAGAATAGATGAAACCTCTATACAGAGAGATATTACATATAAAGAACAAATTCTGATTTACAGGGCTATATATGTGTGTGTGTCTTGTCTTGTCCATATAAATAGCAGGTGTGTACCCTATCCACATTTTTAAGAATATGATGCAGCTAGCAGTGCTGCTCCAATGCCTGATCCATCTTCGGTGACATTTAGAGTAACATGCTTTGCAATATCTTCCCCCAGTATTTCGTTTAAAGCTTCATGCAAGTACTCCCTAAACAATGTATAGCTCGAGTATAATCCTCCTTCGATTGCCACAACTGTTCTTTTCATTTTTATATCGCTCCTACTCCGTCCTCCTGTGATCCCACCACTCCCATCACGACCAATCTTCTTCAAGATACCAACAATACCAGCAGCTGCTAACCGAGCAGCCCTACGAGTCACCACATCACACACCTTCACCACAATTTTTCTTGCTTTCAATGGAACATCTGGAATCTAAGACAGCCAGCCAAAAACAAGATAAACTATTTAGACTTGCGGGCAGGACAATCATTTAGTGAAAACATATTGTATTGTGTCTTGACTTATTTACCTCAAATGTGTCACTGAGGATTCTTGCTACTTCTATCAAGTCAGGTGAATCATCTTCGTGCATAGCAGCCATTAAAGGAGTCCTGAAATGATCATCAGGAAAAAGTTTCAAATCTAATTCAAGCAAGAGAATTGGAAAACTAGAACAATTGTGCATATTAACTATCGTTTTCCTCGAGGAGATTTTGTTCCATATCACCTCACATTTTAGAGGAAAAAACAAAGAAACTGTGCAATATGCTTGGCAAGTTTAGTCAAGCAGCATACATGGAATACAAGCATAGCCCAGCAAGAAAATGTAAGAGTGCATCATATCAGATAGCATGCAAAGATCAAAACAATACAATGGTAGCCCAGCAAGAAAATGGAAGAGTGCATCATATCAAAAAGCATGCTATGAAATCAAAACAATACAATGGAAAGAATCTTAGTTAGTTTTAAAAATAAAAAAAAATACCACCAAGAGGATAAGAAACAAAAAGAATCGATCCATCATGTTTCAGCCACTAAAATTAAAGATGAATACTCAAATGAATTGAACTTACAACATAACTAATAATTTAGTTCATATATGTCATACGATAGAATAACAGAAATATTCAATGTCAAATAAACAATGGCGGTTTGTGATCTTCAGCTTAGAAATGATAAAATCACCAAATAAACATTAATACTGAAAAATAATTTCACATTTTTACAAAAATTGAATATTTTCGAGGGTAGAATTCGGCTTTTGCAAACGCTTTGTTAACTCACGGTAAAACTGCTTATAATAGAACTACAATGGATTTGACCCTAACCAAGGTAGTCAGACTCGAGATCCTACGCAAGATCGGGTAGGAATAACAAGATCGTGAATCGGGAGATCATAACACGGATCGTAAAATCCTACCAAATTTAGAAATTCATATAATATATGTTATATATTAATAATATGCATATGGCATAATTTAGTAGAAAAAAACTTCAAATATCACTAAAATTACTTTTTTTTTACTAAATATTACTAAAATTACTTTTAAAAAACTAAAATTTAAGAGGATAAGATTCATTGTTTTAAACGTGAGAGAAAAAAATAAAGAATTAAATGAATTTTTTTAAGTGAGACAGAAGATAGAGATTGAAATAATGAAATATCAGATAAATGCTGTATTTAACATGAGAGATGTTTATCGTGAGAAAGTGGAATGAATAGCTGTATTTTTTAGGAAGTTACAATATTCATGGATGTATATCGGGAAGTTGTATAACTCATTGATGATTGGGTAGTGAGTATTGATTACTCCTTTTTATTAGGCAGAAACGGTTTAAATGAGAAAGAGAAAAGAAAATTTTCAAATTTCAATAAAAAAGTGTCTTTTTAGTTTTTTTTAACCGGGTGGAGAACCCAAATTTCTGGGGGCTTTGAACAGAAACAGTGCTTCCTCCCAAAAACGACGATTCCATCGTTTTTACGTGTTATAGCGGCGATTCCGGCCGCGTCTACCAAAAAGCGATTCTGGCCATTCTCCGGCATGGTTGTGGGTTGCAAGATTGCAAAACCGTACGATCCTACGAGTAGGATCGCGATTTTGACTACCATGACCCTAACCTGCCCAGATTGCCTTTTTTTAATTACAAACACATATTGACTACTAAATATGTTATTTTCGACATAGGACGTACCTCAGTACGAACGGCGTTGAAAGCTTGGTAGAAATAGGTCCAAACAACATATCCGACTCTAGTGACATCCTAAGAATGACTCTCCTCACGACATCACCGAGATACATTCCTGATATCATTTTCTCAAAACCCTGCAACCAAATCACCTGAGCTTTAGCCATGACAAAGGACAAATCAAGCAACAGAAGTCGTTAGCAGCAGAACCTGACCTGATCATTTGGATTAGGGCTTTCAGCATCTAACTCAATGTCATATGGTGTTCTTGGTAAGTGAGACGACCAAAAGTTTCCCCATTCCATATTGACAACCTAAAAAACAGAAGAATTACAGTAAGTTCATAACTAGAGCCCAAAAGTAAAAAATAAAAAATAAAAAATAAAACTGAAAAGAGAAAACAATACCATGCGCCCTGATGTCGTGAGAAGACCCTGACACTTGATAATAGCATCAATTCGTTCCAGATAGCATGCATTAGTACCAGTACCAATAACTATTGCAGCAACAGTATCTGGATCATGATAGTGTCCAACAGCTAATGTTCCAACAGTATCATTAACCTGCATAAAGTGAAGAGAAGAACATATATTAAGTAGTATAGTGAAACAAATAGGATTTATTTTACACAACACCTATGTTCCTCCACACCAAAATTAAGATATTAAAAATATAATATAGGAAATTGATGAATTAAAATAGATGAATTAAAATAATAAACGATTAAGGTTATTATAGGAAATTCAGAAATAATAGTGTTAAAAGTAACAATATTTAATGAATACATTGTTACGTAAAAAGTCAAAAAACGATATGTAAAAAGGAGCGGAGGGAGAATAAGGCAATCAGTACTTTCAGAGCGAAGAATAGGGTAAAAAGAAGAACATGTAAGAACATAACACAAGAAAGTAATTTCTTACCAAGGTAATAATAGTGTTAAAGTAAGAAAATTTATATTGGTGTGTAAAAAGTCAAAAAAACAACTCGTAAAAAGGAATGGGGTGGGGTGGGGTGGGGGGGGATGAGGCAAGCATTACTTTCAAAGGGAAGAATTGGGTTTAAAAAGAGAACATATAACACCAAAGGAAACTAATTCCTTACCAAGGCAGCTACATGCACATCCAGGCCTTTTCTTACAAATGCTTCCTGCAAACACGCCACAACATCTCTTCCTACCTGACAACAAACAGATTTTGTTGATATTTACATCATTATATTGAAAAACCAAGGGCAACTTGAATGGGATTTACATATCGGTTTTGTAACTAATTAAGGAGGATAAAAGAAATTAGCCAATTTTAAAGATCAATCAGAAAGATCAAGTGACTGACCATATCTACAATGGAAAACCCCTTTGTCCACTTGATTAAAATGCCTGAGGAAACAGACATTTGTTTCATAGGAAAGGAGAATGTAAAGCCAAGTTCCCTTCTGTCCTGTGAAGTATTGGAACCATCTCCTTCTTTTGCAATGAATTCTTTTAAGGATGATGCGATAAAATCAAATAGATCCTGCAAGTAAAAAATTCAAATTAATCTTATTACATGAAAAAGACATTTCAGAACAAATGAATACTAGAGAGCACAAAGTTTTGAAGTGTTTATCACATCACCTCGCTTGTGCTAGTCATTAGATGTGGGGGAATGGGTTGTCGCTCTACTTCATGCTCCAAGACAGGAGATGGTTGACCACTTAAATGAACACGCGTGACCCTAAAATTTGTGCCCCCAAGATGCAGCGCATAATATGGTCCTTTCTCAGTCCTGACAAGAATAAAACAAACCAATTAAACAAAGGGGCTTTGAAATCAAAAATTGAAGTTATGTTCATGAGTGATGTTCACGAGTGTTGTTGATAACATGTATGAGCACCACCATTGCTTGGTAAAGAAAATGAATGCATTAACTGCATTGTGTGCTCATAGTAGCAAACCCAGAACCACAGGGTGAATCTTCTTGATGCCGTAACGCTCAAAGCAGATATAAACAAAATGGTACAGCTAGAACCAACAACTTTTGACGTGTGACGTAGCGTTAAATGCCAACGCAATAAATAGCTGTCATTGATTCAGCTGACAGATTGACAGATGATCTCTCCCAACACCAATCCAAACACGCAATCTATCAATCATTCTAGAAGCTTACGAATCAGCTTATTATTGAAACAAATCATGCATTAATTATCTAACGTAAACTAGACAACAGTAGCTCATTTGGCACATCACGTAGCACATTAAATGCCAGCGCAATAAAGAGCTGTCATAGACTCTGCCGACAGTTTGACACGTGGTGTCTCCCAACAACAATCCAAACACGCAATCTATTATCATTCTAGTAGCATACGGATCAGCTTATTATTGAAACGAATCATGCATTAATTTTCTAAAGTACACTAGCCGACAGAAGCGTCAATTGGTGCATGCCATAGTGCGTTAAATGCCAACACAATAAATAGCTGTCATAGACTCAGCTGACAGATTGACACATGGTTTTCCCAACACCAATCCAACACGCAATCTATCAATCATTCTAATAGCTTGTGAATCAGCTTATTATTGACACAAATCATGCATTAATCCCACAGAGTGCACTAGCCGACAGAAACGCCTAGCTCGTGCCGTAGCGCGTTAAATGCCAATACAATAAATAGCTGTCATACACACAACCAACACAGGGACACATGGTTTCTCCCAACACCAATTTTATTACGCAATCTATCAATCATTCTAGTAGCTTACGAATCAGCTTATTATTGAAACAAATCATGAATCAGCATCCCAGAGTACACTAGCCGACAGGCGCGTCCATTGACGCGCGCCATAGCGCGTTAAATGCCAACACAATAAATAGCTGTCATATACAACAGACAAAGTTACACCTGATCTCTTCCAACACCAACCCAAACACGCAATCTATCAATCATTCGTAGACCTTCTAGATTAACTTATGAATGAATACAAACCATGCTTCACTTTCACAGAGTAAATTAGCCAACAGACATATACTGAATGTCCAAAGAAAATTTTGCATCAACAAAATTTAAAATTTTCATAATTAAAATGTCTTTCACATACATCAAAAATCAAAACCACCTACAGCAGAAATAAAATGCACACATCTATGAACTAAGCTTAAAATGAAAGAAAACATGAAATAGACAACAGAAACAGCTGCAGATAAAAATTACAAAATCACAAGAGCGTGAAAAACAAAAAACATAAAAAATAATATGGAAAACTTGAAAACAACCTTTGAAATGACAGTGATGAAACAAAACGGTCAGCATTTTGAAAGCAACAGCTGAATAGTCAATAGAATCAATCACATCGTCAAGTAATTAAAATCAATAGCACAGTTAAGAAAACGAAGAAAAAAAACGGAGCAAAAAGAAAAATCAAAGACGAAAAGAATTACCCATTGGGAAGATTATCAACATAGGTAAGAAGCATTTTGAGCTTAGAACCACCTTCCGATGCCAAACCGGCGTGCATCTCCACCGCCATAGCATCCACCACCTGCCTCAACCTCCCAACACTCGTATCACAACCTTCCTCAAGCTCCTTCAACACATTCGCAACTTTCTTCCACTTCCGTCTACTCTTGACTCTTCTCCCAACCACAACCGCGGCCACCGCACACGCCGCTACCGCGACCGTCACCGTGAGTCCCACAACCAGTCTTCCCATTTCAGCGATCGATCAAACTACATCCGAAACGACGGCGTTTACCAACTCTCCTTCGATTTGCCACCGCAGCAAAACGTCGCCGTTTTAACATGCACGCAAACGAAGCACTTTAATAAACTCAACAACACTTGGAAAATAATTATAAAAAAAAAAGATTAAGGTGAAATAATGAATCTCCGGTAAAACGGGAAAGTGGCCGGCGATTTAATAATCCGGCGAAAGTGACGCGAAAAGTGAGAGAGTGAAAGAGAGAGAAAGAGAGAGAGAGAGAGGCGGCTGAGAGAGAGCAGTAGTATTGAATTAGGAAGAAGAACCGGTATGGTAAGTTTTTATAAGAAGAGTGTAAAGACAGATTTGCCCCGGAAGAGATATAGATATTACGGATTTGTGAGAGTATCTCTGGGCGATGTTTTTACCGTTTATGACAGATTTTGAGGTTAATGACAAGTTTGACTTGTGCTCTTCTTTTTCGTTCATTCTCTTTCTACGTTCTATCCCCCAACCATCTATCTATCTATTTTCCACAAAAAATAAATATCACATGCAAAATACGCTCTTTTTTTTATTTTTTTTATTCTTTTTGAATTTATTGTCAATCCGTATCACGGTTTGAATATTTTTAAAGCGATACCAATTCTGTGTATTATTATTAAGAATAAGAATCAGAATCATACGTCTTTGATAAGATCAGAATAATAACACTAATAAAACTATTACAGGAAATGCCTATATTCTTCTTCTTCTCTCATCGTTATACCGTTTTTTTTTATGATCAAAATTTTGAATATTAAAAAATCATTACCATTTTTTATATTTTATATCTCATTTTTATTAATATTTTGTAAATTTTATTTTAAAAATTACTTTAATATTCTTTATTATAATTTTACTAGTTTTAAATTTTCTTTCAAATCAAGTATTTATGTTTTTTAATTAAGTGATTAAATTTATATAAGTAATGAATTTTACATTAGCATATATTGTATCAAAGAATTCCGGTGTATTTGTTTCCGTAGTAAAAATTCATAAACACACTTTTAATTCAAAAACTACACTTTTGTAATTTTTTTATTTTTACGATAAATTATCTTCAAATATACGATAGCAGTGGCGTACAAGTTAATCCAAACACACGCAAATCATGTTTAAATTCTATTATTTTATCTAATTCAGTTTTTTAGAAACGACGGTTAATAAAATATTTTCATATTTTCACTTTTAAAATAATTTATGTGGTATAAATTAATTTTTATAAAAAAGACTCATTTATCTAAAATATGAGAAGATAATTCATTTTGAATTTTATTAAGTTTATTTTAAATTTAATTTTGATATTTAAATTATGTATGTTTATTAATATTTATATAAAAAATATGCACTAAAATATGTTAGATGTAAAATATAATATATAATACATTCATATTAATATTAGAGATGACAATCATTTATGATATTTGTAATAATAAATTAATTGAATTAAATTAAACTAAAAACTAATATTTTTAAAAAAGAAAATTAACTAATAATAAATAATTTTAATATAGAATACCAATACAGATAAAATATTAAAATATATTTATGTCATCTAATTCAATTTGTTTCAATTTTAAAAATTAATTCGAAACATATCAGAATAGTTTTTATAATACTTAATTTTATGTGTTTCTTTGAGATTGATTTGATATTTTATTTTTTAAAAAAAAACTGTATTGATTGATCATAAAACTCTGCTCCATTAGGTGAAGGGGGTTATTTTGTCATTCTAGAAATACCTTCCAAAAATTAAAATCTACACATTCTACCAAAGAAGCATTGTACTTATCTTTATGAAAGAATAAACTATTAAATACTTTCTTAAAGGGTCACCCTCCAATTTAACCACTACCATGTATAAATATAATAAGTAATTTTTAAAAAATACATATAAAATTATTTTGGTTATTAGATTATTTAGAAAAATCAGATTTTAGATATTTAATTTAAATTTACAATAACAGCTCATCATCTGATGCAGATTTTGAATTTGGGATAGTGTGCCACATTGTTACAGAATTGTACGTAGTCATGTAATTGGTTTGTCCTACGTGTATTGATCTTTTTGGAGTGGGGTCAAATGTTTTCAGTAAGATGTTTAGGATTAATTGTGAAAATATAGTTAATTAATGAATAGCATGGGCAAGGTATATGGCATATTGCTTCTCTAGTAATGCTTATGGTTTAAGTATTAGTATATTAATTAAACTAAATATGCCAGAAAAGCTTGCATCGTTTACAACAAAGTTCAAACACATAGCTGGCATTGATTTATATATTATTTGTTTTCTTCTACCCACCCTTCTAATATCTACATTATACATCTGTGTGGTTCTTACTTTCTCATCATTACTAACTTTTCAAATATAAAAGGTTAATTACCATTTTTTTTAGTATTAAACAAAAATTGAAGAATACGTAGTATATAAGTACTTATGAACGGATCTAATATAGTGAGAGAGTAATGTGCAAAATTTGGGTGAATCTTGCATTCGTTTGTTAAAGATTGAGTTTTGAATCAATAACCTATATGTAACTAACTCAAACTAGTTGAAATATCTTTCCTCCCTTGATTCGTCTTTCAATCTTGTCAAATTTAAAACTTAATCAATCACTCATCAGTCATCCCAATCTCCTACATTGCCTCCATAAAATATATAAAATAATAAAAATCAATTTTATTATAATTAAGATAATAAATCAACAATAATTAGGCGATAATGTAGTTAAATTACTATAATTAAATTACATACTAATAATAAATTATATTTTGTAATATTCATGATGTTGATATAGTGACAAACATATACTTAGATTTATGTAATAATTAAATCGAAAAAATCACATTACAAACAAATATAATTATTTCACGGACCAAAATTTTAGGTATACATTCTTCAATGCTCTTTGTGTAACACTCTCTAAATTTTTTAATTAAATAGTAAGAATTAGTTGGATTAATTTTATTTAATTTAAGTTGAGAGATGTTCTGGATTGGGCTCCGGCTTGACCGGGCAGGCCCAGCCCAATGCTACTTGGGAAAGTCCAAGCAGTCCCATATCACGTACGTCGAGCACAAGGATTCTCCGTCGAGCAGACGCTACCCTATGCGGGCAGAACCTTCCATAGTCGGGCAGAATAACGTGTCCTCCACACGTTATCCACGTGATCCCCTTCGCGGGGACACGTTATCAGACAACTGCCCACCTCCGAAAGAGCAGGTTAGCCCACCTTCTAGAGATCACAGGACAGTTGACCTAGGGCGAAGACCACGTCCTGGTCTTCACTACGCCACTTAAGCCCTAGCAGTCACTTGGGTTGGGCCTGACCATCCAGCCCAACTCAAATGACCGTTGGCCCTACGCTAGGGTCTCTCTATAAATACCCTCTTTCACTAGAGAGTCAGGTATTCAATTCTCACCTTCTCTCTGTATTTGCTTCACTCTGGTCCTTTCTCACTTTGGCATCAGAGTGTCTTGCAGGTACACCCCCATCCTCCTCCTTACCACCGGTGAACAGGTAGTAGATCAAAGACGCGTGGCGGTCCAGTGATTCCCTTCTGATCAGGTCAGGTCAAGAGGAATAAATAAAAATAAGATAATTGTAGAAAAATAAAAATAAAAAGTATAATTTGGTGGAAATTTGAGTTATTCGAATTAAAAGATTAAAATAAAAGAAATTAGAGTTAGTAAGAGGAGTATAGGCAAAATAGAGAATATGAGAGTAAGTCGAGGGTAATGAGAGAATAACATAATTTAAGAAAATTGAGTTCTAGTTTAAATAGAAAAGTGAGAGTTGGAACTTTTTTACATTACGTATTATTTTGGAATAAGAGAAAAGAGACAAGGGAGGCAACCTGTGGTTTGGAAAGAAAACACCATTGTTGTAAAGCTTGCTTTGCATTATATTCAAGTAACGAGAATTACTCTAATATAGGTGTATATTGTATGAAGAGTAGAGACGGATCCTCGTCATCCTCAAGGTTATCTTTGTGTTTCACCATTATTGTATTTTCTGAGTCTTTTTATGATTATGTGTTTATAATAATAATGATTCTTGATGTGTGATCATGTGTTCCTGATATAATAGTTTCAAATTTTGGTATGTGAGGTTAAATTTGATATTATTCTTGTTGAAAGTAATAAGTTTTGATTCTATGAACGTAATTTTGAATCTGTGAGTAAATGACAAAATAAGTTGTTAATTTGTGTGAAATTAACATGTTCAATATGAAATAATTATTGTATGTCAAGCATCGAGCATTCATGAATGGAAACAGGACAACATTTCCATGGATTTTGTGACTAGTTTACCTAAGACATCTAAAGGGAATGATTTAGTTTGGGTTATAGTGGATATATTGACTAAATCGACTCATTTAATTTTGATTAAGATCAACTATTCATTGAAGAAGCTGACTGAAGTGTATATTGAGAAGGTTGTTAGCTTGTATGGTACTCCTTCAAGTATTATTTCTGATAGAGGCTCGAGATTTACATTGAGGTTATAAGGTAGTTTATAGGAAGTCATGAGTAATAGGATGAAATTTAGTTCTGCTTATCATCCGCAGACGGTCGATTAGATAGAGAGTGCTATTCAGTCTTTGGAGGATTTGCTGTGAGCTTGTGTTTTAGAGCTGGGAGGTAACTGGGTTAGTTACTTAACTTTGGTTGAGATCACTTACAACAATAATTTCCATTCTAATACTGGAATGTCAATGTTCTAGGCTTGTATGGTAGGAGGTGTAAGACACCTTTGTGTTGGTATGATTCTAGTGAAAGTGTTGTGCTTGGATTTGAGTTGTTCAGCAAACCTCTGAGAAGATCAAAATCATCCAAGAGAAGATGAAAGGTTTGCAAAGTCTCTAGAAGAGTTAGCATGATAAGAGGAGGAAGATATTTAAGTTCCACGAGGGAAATCATGTGTTTTTTAGGGTTACTCTAGGGACAGATGTTGGTCGAGCTTGG